TATGTGGGACGCAGCCTCAGCATGGCGGGGAAATCGGTGCTTCGGTGCGCGCCCGGGATCTGAACCTGGGCTGCCAGCGGCAGAGGGCGTGCACTTAACCGCTAAGCCACGGGGCCAGCCCTGCTATTCTTTATTATCCTTATTTTGCAGGTGAGGAAACACACTTCTAAAATAAGTCATTTACTTCCCAAGATCTCCAGCTAGGGAGTAAAGAGGAACCTGAGCAGTTTAGCAGGCACTGCTCAGCTGGCAGGGGGCGCTGTTGCCTGAATGGAAGAGCCTACGCCTACCCCCAACGCCAGATTTCAGGAGGGCGTGGCTTCGCTACCTAGTAAGTAAGATCTGGCTGCCCAAGCTCAGAGAGGTGAAACCATCAACCCATGTCACCTAGTTTCATCACGTGTGATGTGGGGGTAGTCATGAAAATTGCTTGGGCGTTCTCTGTGAAGATTTAAAATGGATCTGGGCCCATTTCAGGTGATCTTCCAGGCATTACCCCCCATTGCCACAGTTGAAGCTCCCTGCTCCAAAGAGTGCTCAGACCCCAGGGAGCCTTCCCAACCACCAATACCTAGCTGTGGGTTTCCCCACATGTGCTCCTCTGCAGTGACAGCCCAGATCTGGCTAAGGTGTCTGTGGTGTCTCTTTTCAGCTGGGGATGGGAGGTGGTGGGGGTGACAGGTGTCGCTGAGTCATTCAGCTGGCCCTCCTGGCACCCAGGCCTCGGTGGGCAAGGGACATCAAGCAGCTCATGTCACAGCTGGCCTATCAGATAGTCCCTTGTCAGTCTTGACTCATCTGTGCGTGGCCCCTGGCTGCCTGCAGGGACACCATCTGTGAAACCTGGGCTAGCGCCCAGGGAACTTTCTGGAACTCCAGCTGCTGTCTGAGGACACGGGTAGGGGGTGGGGGGTGAAGTTTTAGTTCCCTGAAGCCCTACACCAGGTGTGTCTGGCTCTTCTGTTTCTGGCCTGTGACTTCTCAGGCCTCGGTTACCATGTCTACAAAATGGGAATAACAAATCATAGCTATGTGAGATCGACCCAAGGATTAGATGACACGTATGAACATGAGCACAAGGGCCTTCCACACAGTAGTACAAATCAGTGGAATGAATGAATGAATTGAGCCTTAGAGCAGAACCAAGCAACTGGGGCTTGGTGGCTGTTGTGTGAGGAGGGCTGGGGATACAGAAACCCAGCCAAGTTCCCTTTGCAACGTTTTGCTACCTGAGGGGGAAGGGTGTGGGGTCCCACTGAGAGAAGGTAGGTATGGGAGAGAGGTATCTGCATCTGCCCCTAACCAGGACAGACCACCATTCTGGACAGACGGGAGCAGAAGCAGGAAAGAAGCAGCAGGAGAGGGCCCATGGATTCACTCAACCTGTCCCCTCCAACCAGGATGATAATAAAAGTGTTCTTACTGAGATATTACTATATGGGAGACATGTGCCCACCACTTTACCTCAGCATTTCATGTTATTTATATCTTATAACAACCCCCATAAAGACATTATCCCTGTTCTATACAGTGGGAAACAGAGGCTCAGCCAAGATAAATAGGCAGAGGTGAAACAGCTAGCAAGGGGCAGAGCTGGGATTTGAAGGTTGGGCTGTCCTAGGAGTGTTCCAGCGTCAGTTTGCTCCTTCTGGACAGCCAAGCTCAGCCCAGAGAGGTGGGGGGGGGGGGGGTCTCAAGGTCATGTCCTATTCTAGGTGCCCTGGGCCCCTGGCCATACCTAGGCTTGTGGTGAGGGTGTCTGGCCTGTGGGGGAATGGCTGGGGCCTAAGTGGCCCAATGTGGATGCAGTTCCCTTGGCAATGAGGAAACACTCCTGAGGTCAAGAGCTCAGATTACCAGAGGGGAAACCCAGCCCTAATTCCTTGCATGGCTCCCTGCTGGGAAGGGCCACAGCTACCCCCCACACCCACCCTCTGCTGGACATCCAGGGGCTCTTTTCAGCAGCAAGGTCATGTGTGAGGTGGGTGGGAGGGGCCATAAGCAGCCCAGCCAGGATTCCTGATGGGAAGTGGTTTGCTGGCTCTTGAGACTTGCGTCCTCTGACAGGAGAAGTGACCCACGACTCCCTCTTCCCACTGAACCCTGTCCAGGAAGCTGGAGCCATCATTGGTTGCCCAGCCCTCCAAGACACCCCAGGCCATGTGAAGGATACAAATGAACAGGCTACCCCTCAGTCCTGCCCTTGCCTACTTTGGGGACCTCAAGAAGAGAGGGGCCTGCATGAACCCCCCTAACACTTAGCTAGCCAGGCCCTTCTCACTCCAAGACCCTCTCAGATGTTGCCAAGGAAACTGATAGAGCAGCCAGAGAGCCAGGCCCAGGTCTCCATGACAACCTACAACAGCCCACCAGGATCCATCCATCTGTGATATCACCTGAGCCCTGAATGGATGCCCCCCACCCCTGCCACACTGTCACACTCAAACGTCAGAGTCTGATAGCAGGTCCCTGTCACAAACTACCTTACAGCCTGCCTGCTCCTAATCCTCACACACCCCAATTTTTTTTTTTTTTTTGTGAGGAAGATCAGCCCTGAGCTAACATCCATGCCAATCCTCCTCTTTTTGCTGAGGAAGACCGGCCCTGGGCTAACGTCTGTGCCTATCTTCCTCCACTTTATATGGGACACCGCCACAGCATGGCCTGATAAGAGATGCATCGGTGCGCATCCAGGATCCGAACCCAGGCCACCAGCAGCGGAGTGCGCACACTTAACCGCTATGCCACAGGGCTGGCCCCTCACACACCCCAATTTATAGCTGGGCAATCTGAGCCTGGGAGGGAGGCAAGACCAAGGAGACTGGAGGCAGAGCCGGGACTAGAAACCAAGCCTTCCCATTACATGTCCCCCCTCTGTGCCCCTGTGCCCACCCTAGGTCTAAGGAGGAGGTAAGCTCTGGGCAGTAGTGGCTAACCACTCCCCACCATACTCTACACCTGTGCCCCTCTTGGATGCGAGTCTGGCTCTCCAGGCCCTGCATGTGCCCTGAACAGAAGGCCCAGTCTGGAGCTGGAGGGAAGGAGAGAGACACTGAAGACTCTTCAAGTGGCTGGATCCAGCCCTGACCCTGGTCCAGTCCCACCCCTACCCGCTCCTGCTGGCATCTGACACCTGTCTGCCAGGATTTCCTCAAGTTTGGGCAACCTCCAGCCCAGGAGTGGAACGACCAGGAGCGGAATGACCAGGGCCAGGTATTTTTAGCAAGTTGCTGGCAGCTGCCTGGAAGGTGCTGGGGGGTGAGGTGGTTCATTCTTTCCCTTCTCTGGGCCTGTATTCC